GACAGCCTCAGCAGCTCCAGCAGCTCCTACGACGGCAGCGACCGGGAAGACCCCAGGAGTGATTTCCATTCTCCTGTGGTGCTGGGAAGGCCGCCCAATTCCGAAGACAGGGAGAGTCCGTCGGTAAAACGAATGAGGATGGACACATGGGTGACATAAACCTGCAGTGTTGCCTCCTCCCTTTGGTGTTCTCAAAATGAACTGTCCTGACATATCTAAATTTATAAATAAGGACATAAGTATATTTATATGTATATACATACGTGCATATATATATCTTCACATGCATATATATGTGCTAGTGTGTGTAGCATACACAGAATCATCAGGCACTTACGACAAACTTCTTGTATAGCTGCAGATGTCCCATGGTAAAATGTAACAGAACAATCCTGTAGGTATTGATCTAGTCCGGCACTTACCTGGAATTGTTGTTTTAATAATATAACCTGTTTTGCAGAGAAACATTGTACCCGCATTATAATCCTACCACACTAGATTGCAGAAACCAAGAGGGCTCGCCTGTAGTCATGTCCCTGTGTGTTTTATTCAAGCTGTATGGTTACTTGTAGTTAAGAAATAATGCTTTGTAGCAGCAGAGCAGTAGAAAAGCAGGAAGAAGAAAGCAATACTGTACATAAAATGACCTTTATATTACCCAACCTGGCATGGGTCTCTATTGCAGAGGGTGCATGGAGAAGGGCTGATGCTGTAAGAAATAAAAAACAAAAACCCTGTTTTGCACGTGCAAAAAAAATAAATAAATAGTGTATTGGGTCAAAGAAGTGATTTTTTTAATGAGTGAAAGAGAGACATAGAGAACTCGCATGAACTATTCAGAAAATATTAGCCTAGAAAATAGAACATTAACAAAGTAAAATTAATATATTAAGTTATAATTGGAAGATGTTTGACAAATTTGTTTTTACGTTCATACCTTTGAAAAATATAGAAACGGATTTTAGCTCATGTATATTTTATATTAAAGAAAACAATACCCTAATGAATTGAAGACTATATATAAAGTTATATACAGTACTTTTGAACACATTCTGCTATGAATTATTTATATAAGCCAAAGCTGTATGTTGTAGCTTTTTTGTAGAGTATAGTTTTATCTTATTTTGACTTTCTAGTTTTTGCTTTCAAAGATGAAAAGGAAAAACTTGCAGGCGGAACCTTGGGGGAAAAAAAAGCCATGAACACTTATATGTAAATTTAAATTTGAGCCAAACTCTGTGTATATAGCATCCTAAATATATTATCACCTTTGGTGTAAGTACCTACGTATTGTACGTTCACCAGATTAAAAAGTATATTTTTGTGGATTGACGCCGACTTGAAAAAAGGCGAGGTCCTTATTAAGTAGAGTATTCACTGTTTAATATTTACTATTTTGTTAAATATACTGTACTTTCTTTGGATTTTAATTATTATTAATATTATTATCCAGATTTTTCAGAGGGTGTATAAAGGGGTTGTCCCCTCACTGGTGGTGAATGTGTGCCGTTAAATTGTAATCTCTGTGCTGTATGGTTAAGCTTCATTATACATTTTATATATATGTATATAAATAGCAAAGTGGCAAAAAAAAAAAAGGTGTAAGTTCATCCTGCATAAATATAAAAAAATCTGTTACAACACATTTTAAGGCATCATTTTAAAGCTGCCTCTTATGAGGAGGAAAAAAAACGTAACAGTGGAAAAACTTGACCTAATTTCTCCTGATAGGGAAGTAACACATATCAGATGAGCACAAAAGGTTTTTTAAGTTGGTAAGTGGTTTGGAATAAAGCCTCAGAAATTAATTCCCTGTTCCTCTGTGCTGCTTCCATGAAACAGAGCGAGGAACCGGGGGGCCCATGGTGCCCCAGCAGCTGCCTGGGAGAAGGTGGTGGTTTGTCCTTGGATGTGGTGGTGACCCTGGCCCAGCCGTGCGGGGACAGGACAGCCCGGGCAGCGCCCTCACTCAGGTACCTTTGCAGCCCTGCTCAGACCCATCCATTCTGGGGCAGGAGCCAGGTTTGAGAGCCAGAAGTCCCAGGAGCCAAGACCTCAGTACCCTGGGGCTGGTGGAGATGATTTCACCTAAGGAGGGTCCTCACCCCAGTCTGGTCTCTTCCCAGTGTCACCTTCCTGCACCTGCTCTGTGTGCATTTGTACTGGGAACCAAACTGAGGAGATGCCAACAGATCTTCCTGCTGGTACTTCTAGTTCTGGGGAAGAAACCAGAGGGCTGTTCTGTTACCCAAATGGATTTAAAAGTTATCCCTGGTATTTATTAAATTTTTGCTTGGGCTTTATATATATATTTTTTTTTGTCATTTAAAAATAATGATTTTTTTTTTAATAACAAGTAACAAAGAAATGTGAGAAATGGGGATCCAAGGATCATCGCCTGGGCTTGGTGTGTGACTGAAGAACAGTCGGTACTTGCAGCTTCCAGCTGGGCTCTCCTGTTGCCATGGGAACCTCAACAAACCACAGGTTTCAGCTCCTTTCAGCCCCTTACCTCCGTAAATTGTTCTCTCTTTTTTTGAAGTTAGTTACTGGTTTACAGAAGTGTGGAGGAAAATGAGACTCTAATGGCAACTCTGTTTCCAAAGCGACTGAATCCACTTACCACTTCAGAGAACCTTTTAATGCTCTGGAAAGTTAGGAGATTTTTCATTATTTATGCACCTCTATGAACTTTGCTGTACATCTGAGTGGGAGTTCTGCATTCACATTTACTGTCTATTTTCTTGTGTGCCTTATAAGATGGCTTTGCTGACTGTATCTCAATAGTCTTTATTTCTATGCAGGTTTTTAAACAGTACTACTACTGTTTTCTTAAAGAAAAAGAAGTTACATAAGGGTTAGAGTTTGTATTGAAATTGCACCAATGAATTAAACAAAAATAATCATCAGTTCTTAAGAACTGTGACCAGGACTGCTCACGTGTTGCCCCCAACCCTCCAACAGCCTCAGCAGAACAAGTCTGCTCAGACCTCCCCAGGCAGGGGGAAACTCACCACGGTGAATAAATGGGAATCCAGATTTTTAATAACAGGTAACTAACTTTGGAACATGCTTTTTTTAAGAATTGTAAAAAAGTTTTATAAAAAAAAAATATATAAAAAAAAGGTCATAGCACAGATATTTCAACAGGTTAAAAAGAATACTTTTTTTAATTAATGAAGTTGCAAGCGGATCCAATCCTAGTCCGGACCCATTGGAGTGGGAATTATTTCAGATTTTTATCTGCTATTGTGACAAATCACCTCTCCATCTGCCAGCTCTCACTGTAGTGTTTGAAGATACACGTTATCAGGGATTCGTCAGAGCAAAACGCTTTAGCCTTTCACCCAAAGGACACTAATGCATCAGAAACTTGCGAATTGCTGAGCGCACAAGAAATACATAGTAAATAAGGAACAAAACAACTCCTAACAATTGATCACGGGAAGAAGTGAAATCAGAATGTGAAAGAAAGACTTAAACAAATGTAAACATTTAAATCCTAGTAGAAACTTTCTTCACTTTGCTGTGCAAGAGAACACTGCTTTGCTATATTTAAAATGGCTTTTTTAAAAGAGATTTATGTATTTGGTAAATGTTTGTAGTCAACAGTTCACAAAGAAGCTGTTCACGGTTTCATGATAAGCCGTTTGGCGGCACAAGCTGGACTTTGTTGCCATCCTTGAGACGAATCTTTTAAGAAAAAAAATAAGTTAATCTCAATTTTTTCCCTGAATGTGTTGTTTTTTCTTCAATATACAATAAATATTCTAGTGAACTTTTTATCAAATGGTTAAGAAAATGCTAGAGGTTGTTGTAAAATATTTGTATCCTGCATTCACTAAAGTAAAGATACTGGCTTTTACTGTGTACGCCTGCCTCTCTCGTATTTGCAGAGCACTGTCCTGGTTGGGGCAGCCCTGCCCTCTCTGAAAGAATCTTCAGGTTCATGCTTGAAGGGCTGTTTCTAACTGCAGCAATGAGACTTTTAACCAATATGGACTTCTTGTTACTACGTATCAAGAACTGATGCTCAATAAGAAACTTATTACAAGGTCAGTTCAGGCTGGTGCCCCCAAGGGAAGCCCCTTGTCCTTCCTGCTCCTCTCCAGGTGCTCACATTTCCCTTTGCTGGAAGTGATGCTGTGCAGGGCTTCAGGTTCTGTGGGACAAACAGCTTCAGGGGGAGGGAGGCCCTGGCAGAGGTTTTCCTGTGCTCTGAATTCCTGGTGCTGCTCTGCCTGAGGAAAGTGCTTGGCCAGGCAGCAGCACTGCTGATGTGCTAACAAAACCAAACCCGCAAGCACTCTTGGGTGGGTGGTGCCCCTTGTGCTTTTAGTTAATTTTGTTTTATTTAAAAATGTAATAATCCCCCCCTTAGAACAAAGACATACAGTTCCTTCACAGAAGAAAAATACAAGTTTTGGTTTGTGGGTTTGTGTTTTTTTTTTCTTAAGTATATGATCCTTTGGAGTCTTTGTTTACAAGATCATATTCCCCCAGGCTTTCCCAAGTACCTTTTTTGATGGTTGCAGGAAACACAGGTTATTGTTATCACACGTTTCTGCTTGCTTGGCCTGGGGTTCCTTGTGTTGCTGAGAAGCCTCAGTCCTGTTTCCCCCCAGCCCACACAGGTGCCATGAGTCTGCTATTCCTTGGGTCAGGAAGAGAAGGGATCAGTGCCACAGACTCATCATGGTTGGAAAGGACCTCTGAGATGAGTCCAACCATCAACACAAAGAGCTCCAACAAACAACATACACAGAACCTCTGTGCAACAAAGAAAAGCTCCCAGAAACTCCTGGTATGGGACATTACCCTGTCCCTGGCCAGGTTTCACACAACTGTGCTGCAAACCATCTTAGCATTTGGTTCTGAGCAGTTACCTCTTACCACCAGTCCCCAATTTGCTTTATTATTTCCCCACCCCCCCTCCAAATTCTTCCTACAGCAAAACACCCCAGAGCCTCATTTTCTCCTCCCCTCCAGCATGTAGTGTTCACTGACATCTCAGGACAGCACCTGCCTCTGAAGCTGTACTGCTCCTCCCCACACACTTGGACATGCTCCTGCCACACCTGCAGCTCAGACATGTTTCTCACACAGCAGCTTCACCAGCCCCTTCCTGTCCAGGCTTTATGCTGCTCTCCTTGATTGTTTAAAATAACATAGGGCTTCCTTGTGCTGGACAAGCAGTGCCCTGGTTAAAGAAGAAATCCTGCCATGAGCTCTGCCTGCAAAGACACCAGATGGCAAGAGGAATCACTGAAGGATTTCATCGAGAAGAGCTCTGTTCAGGTTCTCCCTTCTCAGGGCTGAGCTTCAAGCAGCCTGACAAGTACAGCTTAAACACTTGCTCCAAAGGGTGACACAGTGAGGTGCTGTCAGCATCCCTGTGTCTAACACCCACCTTAACACACTAGGGAGTCAGCAGCTGAGAGCCTGGTGTGCCAGCACTGCTGTGGTCTGCCAGAGAGAAAACTGACAGTTCAGAGAGAGAGTTCCCGCTTCTACTCTGAGCAAAAAGTGTTTGCTTCAATGTCAACAACCCCCAAACTTCCTAATCACAGCAACACAGCACTTTCTACCTCAGCAGCAAAGGATTCATTTCTTAGACAAGGCATGAAGAAATACCTGAAGGAACCAAGATTATTAAATTGCTACAAAATACTTTACCTCAACAGCGGTCATGAATATTAAGTCAGCTGCTCATTGTACTTTATAAGCAACGAAGCACCCTGACTCCTCAATAAAAAACACCTCACCTCACTTTTAGTCAAGTTCAGGATTACAACATCAGCTACTTAAAAAAATAAAAATAATCTGTACTGTTATCCCCCTGAACACACACGAGTCAGTCACTGCCACGTGGGCTTCCGTGCTGCGAGCCGAGGCTGTGCCTGGCTGCCCTTGCCCACCTTAGGATTTTCTTTTCTACAGCTGAGCTTCGTGGTAATTTCCCTTCCAATCCCTCTGTTGAACTGTTTGAGGTTAGTGTTGTGTTGAAGGAGTGGGCCACCAGGCCTTGTGTTTTAAAATAGATTATATAAAATACTGGCAGAACAATTCCTATCAGGAGCATAATAAAAACTGCATTCCACCACTGGATTCCACAGTCCGCACCATTACTGCTCTCCTGCTGCCCTGCCTCGGGCAGCAGCAGCTCTGGGGCTTCCAGGCAACACTCCATGTTCAGCTGGCCCTCGGCCTGCACAGCATCCTGGATGCTCTTGTCGATGCCCTTGAAGTAGTCGCTGAGGTGTGAGGGGGCAGCAGAGCTGCTGCCACCAGCCTGGGGCTCTGGCAGCTCCACCAGGGTCAGGCCGCTCTGGGGGGGCGCACTGGGGAGCGGCCGCAGGTCCCCACCCTTCTCCGTCAACAGCCCGTGGGTCTTCACGGGGATCTTGATGGACTTCAGGGCATACAAGTCCTGCTCCCGGATGAAGTTGTTGACACGTTTGATATCTGCAACCTACAGGATCCAAAAAGGACACCAATGTTAGCGTAGGACAACCCAGTACTGAGGCAGGAAGTAGCTACAGAACGAGTGCAAGAAGCCAAACATTCAAAGCAAGTGCTGGCTGCAAGTGGCTGAGTGTTTTGCAGAGATCTCCCAGCTCTTCCAGGGATGCTCCAGGTCCTGCAGGGCAGAGATGGTCCCCAACTAAACTTGTCTATAACCTCCTCTGCTGCTTTTATATCTCTCAAATGCTGTCTTTTGCTTAATACTGTGTGTCTTCTTTCTTTTCTCTCACTCCCTAGTCCAAGTTGAGGCAAGAAGAATCTTTCTAACAGATCCTTTTAAAACAGCACCTTCTGCTCATCTTCCAAAAAACTGCCCCTTGCCTGTGTGGCAGCAGCTCCATCCACCTCACGCCTCCTGCTG